AAAAAAAACAAATAGAAGAACCTACGCATAAGAAGAGAAAAAGTCGGCGACAGCGACAACGAAGGAAAAGAGGTTAGGGCACACAACGAGAAACAGGCACCAAGGGAAAAAGAATCATGACGGAAGAGCAAAAGGCCATCGTCATACCGCATCTCGACCCTCCGAAGGCATTTTCCTTCAAGACAGAAGACTGGAATCGCTGGGCACAGCGATGGGAAAGATACCGGCATGCAGCGGGCCTCGCGCAGCGGTCACAGGAAGATCAAGTAAATATATTGATATATACAATGTGCGACAGAGCGGACGACATCATATTGTCGTTTAAATTAAGTGACGAGGAACAAAAAAGGTACGACACGGTCATGGGTAAGTTTAAAACTCATTTTGGCGAGAAAACAAACGTAATATACGAACGTGCTCGGTTCAATCAGCGCCGACAAGACGCGAACGAAACAGTAGACGAATTCATCGCCGATTTGTTTAGGTTGGCAGAATCTTGCAATTTCGGAAATCTACGAGAAGAGCTTATAAGAGACCGCATTGTCGTAGGCGTAAGGAATACGAAGTTATCGGAGGCCATGCAATTACAGTCCGATTTAACTCTCGAAAAAGCCATTTCAAAAACTAGGCAGGCGGACGAAGTCAAACGTCACCAAAACTTGGTAAGAGGAGAACAGACGTCAGTAACAAGCGGATTAGCGATAGACCATATTCGTAGACAGAAGTCAAATCAGCAAAGCAAGACGTCAGGGAAACACGGAGAACAAAGAAGTAATAAAAAGGCACAGAAGTGTAACAGATGTGGATGTGCGCCACAACATGCATTCATAGCCTGTCCGGCGAAACATTCAGATTGCAATAATTGCGGAAAGAGAGGACACTGGGAAGCAGTATGCAATACGAAGAAAAAGAAAGTGCACGAAATTAATAAAAATAAACCCGGAGAGGGTGCAAATATGAGTAGCTCATATTCAGCAGCGGACGCAGTATTCGCAGATCAGATAGAAGTTAACTCAGCGGTAACAAATACTACACCAGCATGGAAGACGACCGTCAAAATAAACAAAATACCCATCGATTTCAAGATCGATACAGGAGCAGATGTATCTATCATCGGCGAGGAGCTACGAAGACAACAATTTAGCAAAATCGCTATGAGCCGAAACAAGGAACAAAGCGGCTTGCGAGCGGTAGGAAATTTAAGCATTCCGGTCAAAGGATCGATGCAGGTCAACATAGAATGGCAGGGACAAAAATGCCAGGAACGAATATATGTAGTACCCGGAGCCAGAGAGCCGCTACTCAGTCGAACAGCCATCGAACGATTAGGCATCATTCGTTGGGTAAATTCAGCGAGGGAACAACCAGAAGTAAGATACAAAAAAGTATTTAAAGGACTAGGTCGGTTAAATCGACCCTACACTCTTAGATTGAAAGAGGACGCAACTCCATACGCAGTGTCGACCTCAAGAAGAGTAGCAATTCCGTTACGTGAAAAGGTGCGGCAGGCGTTACAAACCATGCAGAAGGAGGACATCATCAGCCCAGTGGATGAACCTACCGAGTGGTGTGCAGGAATGGTAATCGTGCCTAAGCCTAATGGAGACGTCCGGATATGCGTAGATTATACGCATTTGAATAAAAGCGTTCAGAGAGAGAAACACATACTGCCAGCAGTAGACGAGACATTGGCATCGCTTGCGGGAGCGAAAGTATTTTCTAAATTAGATGCATGCTCGGGGTATTATCAAATCATGCTACAAGAAAAATCAAGAAAATTAACAACATTTATTACCCCGTTTGGACGATTCTATTTCAACAGACTACCCATGGGAGTGTCATCATCCGGCGAACATTTCCAGAAACAGATGAGTGCCATTTTGGAAGGAATAGAAGGAGCATGCAATTTAATGGACGACACTTTGGTTTATGGAGCTACAGAGGCCGAACAAGATAGAAGATTGGAAATCGTCCTGAAGAGGCTCCAAGACAATGGAGTTACGCTGAATAAGGCCAAATGCATATTCAGAACATCCAGCGTAAAGTTTTTAGGACATGTAATCTCAGCGGAGAAAGGAGTGCAACCAGACCCAGACAAAGTCAGAGCAGTCAAAGATATGGAAAGACCGAAGTCTAGGGAAGAATTACGTCGATTTTTAGGCATGGTACATTACCATACGAAGTTTTTAAATCACCTGGCGGACGCAATTCAACCGTTTCGAGACCTATTAAAGAAAAATCACGAATTCGTATGGACAGCAGTTCACAAACAAGCTTTCGACAGAATAAAAGAAAGTTTAGCAAAAGCACCAGCATTAGCATTCTATGATCCGTCGAGAAAAACACGCATATCCGCTGATTCATCAAGTTACGGTTTGGGCGCGATACTAGAGCAAGACATGGGAAGCCAGTGGCAACCAGTCAGTTACGCATCGAGGGGCCTGACAGCAACAGAAAAAAGATACGCTCAAATAGAGAAAGAGGCATTGGCGCTCACTTGGGCGTGTGAAAAATTTGCAGACTATATAATAGGTGTGGGGGTCGAAATCCGTGATGTCGCCAACGTCGGCCCAACGTTCAACGTCGGCTGATAGTCGGCAAACCTTACCTGGGTATTAATAAGTGTGGGGATCTCGAAGGTTTAGTCGCTCTTAACTAATAATGCAGCGGCCGTCGCCTTCGGCCTCACTGCCGGATTGTCGATAAATCGCTGAGGTTTTTCTGCCGTAGGTTCGTATGAGAGAACAGAGAGTGTGTTCGTGTGTATGTACAGTAAATATGTACAATATATTTACACCAAATTTACAATATGTTGATTGCCCCTGAAAAGGGCCGATTGTTGGTACTTTTATGTGGCCCTGAAAAGGGCCGTTTGGTACGGCGCGAGTTAGGCCGTTAACCGCTCTCGATATTCGATTGGTGGCTGACAACGCGTCTTCTTAGCCGGATCCCAAGGCTGGTTATTGTTGGGGTCGCTTGCCCTCAAGGCCGGCGGTGTTCCCGGTGGTGTGTGCGGTGACGGTGGCTGTCGGTGCGCTTCCGGTGACGTCTCCCAATCGTCGCGCGTTGTCTGTGTGCCCGCGGTGTGCTTCTCCGGAGTCACGGGCGGCGACGGGGACACCGCTGCAGGTGGCGTTGTTGCCAGCGGTGACAGGGCTGCAGGCGCCGTCAGGTAGCAGGGTGACGTGGCCCGGCGC